ATATTCATAATTATACAGTGTACATATTTAAATTCTTTTTCAAATAAACATTTTTTTTTAATATCTTTTTTTTATATCTTTTTTCGGCATAAATTTTTATAATAGCATTGAATTTTTCTATATTCAATTTTGTAGAGCGCATCAGCTGGTGGATATTTTGCGCTATATAAATACTATCGCTGAATCATAACACGCTCTCTCCAGAAAGAGGCTAGATTAAGAACAAATACTAGGTTCTCCTCGTTTCTCTTGCATTGTTCATGCGAATAACGTCGTAACTCTGGTTTTGAGCTATCCCCTGGACGATCGTTTTTAAAAAATCCAACATTTCGAGAAGAAGCAATGACAGCGCGAGGATCTCGAAGTAGAAAAATAATTTTACAATCGATGTCAGGGGGATTACACGCATTTAGAATATTCTTGATACTTGAATCTTCGATACGATTAATAAGTATCTTGATGACAGTAACTTCGTAGTTAATTCGACAAGCGCTCTCCAATCTTTCCCTTGTTAACCGTTGGCATGACATTGTATTCCATCGTGTATCTGTTACGTTGAAAGGGCATAGTGGCGTTGAGCTTACAGCTATGCTTGCTGTAGGGTGTTTGCGGTAGTATKWTTGAATGTCTGCCACTATTGTCTCGTTAAATTCACACCGAAAGATACTAGTGAGAAAATTTGCCATGAAGGCTTTGTAGCTTTCTCGCAATTCTAATTTTTGCTTTTCCATTCTTCGAGCTGTTTGAAGAGGTTCGAAGAGGTAAAACACAGACGAATGATGGTTGAAAATATCACCGATGATCGTAGACCCATAGAACGCCCATGAGAAATTATAATGATATTTCGTCTAGGTTTAACTTTCTTGATCGTATTCTTATCTTGTGGATGAAAGTGATGTAATGTTTCTGTAGATTTGTAATCCTCTTCGGCGGTACTCTTTCCTGTCAGAAAACCCTTGTTTCTAGTATTTCCTTGCCAAAGGGAAAAGTAAAAGATCTTCCAAAACGCCAGAGCACAAGCAACCAAAAATACATAGAAAACAATTATTTTTACAAGATATTGAAACATTCTGGCTCTACTGTGCTTTGCTTGAAAATAAAAATTCACATGAACATCAGAATGCTTGTCTACGTGTTATAAGTCTGTGATTCGAGAATTGCAATCTTATGTTTTAAGTGCTTGACACGTCTCACAGTAAGATATTAGCATTTAAGAGCGACTTTCTTTAAATATCGGACAAAACGTGACAAGGCTAGAATTTTCTAAATACTCCAGTTTCGAATTGATAGGGAAAAACCGCTGCTTTATTTGACTACAGATTCTCTTGCGCAAAGACCTGACCAAACACAAAAGGTAGCACGAGAAAATTTCGTTTTTACAATAGCCTCTAAGATTTACATTTTACCCGAGTTGAGACTAACCCTGTATTCCCATAAGACTTAAGGTATGGGTCTTCTGGGAATACAGGGTTAGCCTCAACTCGGGCAAAATGTAAATTGTCAGCGCTATTGTACGTACAACATTTTCTCGTGCTTTCTTTTGTGTTTGGTAAGTTCTTTGCGTAAGAGAATYTGCTGTCAAATAAAACAGCGGTTGGTCGCTTAGAATTCGAAAATGGAGTATTGCTCTACTCTGGCATGTAAGATGTGTATAGGGTTAGGGTTAGGGTTATAGTGAAGTACGAAACGCTGTGTACTTAGTTTTCAAAAATTCTTTTTGTTTTCAAGAAAAAAGCAAAAAACGGTTTCAGTCTCGTCAACTGTTTATCGCCATCGAAATAGATGAGGTGACGGTTTTGGCAGCCATCTTGTCCTGTAGGCATAGTGTCGCAAAATAACAMGGTTGTCCGGGAAATCGACGTCAAATAATTCCCGCTGAATTCAAATTCGGAAAGAGTTMTTAATTGCAAACTTTAGATACTATATTAAAAAAGGTGTTAACTGGCGAAATTTGAAGGGCGTACTTTATCTAGAGAGCGAGTAAACTCCATTTCTTTGTAATTTCCGGGGTCATCAGCGCGTGACGCGCGTGAAAAATACAAAGAAATGTACCTAAATGCTGCATAAATGTATAAAACAATCGTAAGACATTTTGCTGTTATTGGCATTGATATCTAAGTGGATTATGCAAATATAATTCTGCAGCCAAAATTGTATGTAGCGGGATAGTTTTTTTTAAACGGGGTCACTGGTATACTTTTAGAAATGGCGTCTTCAAAAAGTTGTTCTTTTCGTTCTTTTGTCGGATCAGATTGTTTGTTTGACCGAAGCGTTCCTTTGACAACATGCAAAAAAAGAAGTAGCAAATCATAGATCGACATAGAAATTTTCTGGTGTGAAAAGTGAGGTGGAATTGATTCTTGCACGAGCTGGCATGCTTTGTTTAGAGCGAGAGGAACGCATTTCTTTAAACATATGCCCTTATCACCGCTCGGAACTTGGCGTTGGATGGCGAAGGGGTAGAGATACCTGCCGTGTTCCAGAAGTTCTCTMTAAACATAAGCCTGACAAGAAAGGGGACAGAGGAATTGGGAAAGAAACCTCAAAGTCGATATTTGTACAGATAGGCSWACTCATTACATTCTAATTCACTGCGTTCAAACGAATGTAAAATATTTTCCGTTTAAAKTCCGAGTAAAGRCAGAACAACAAGATAGATRTTTGGTTTGCTACGSAACCAGACACTGACTTYATTGAATACTAAGGCTTGGCGTAATAGTTATATATGGGATGTAAATATGAATAATTCTCAAGTATTGACCCTACGTTTATATGTCTAGTGCTTTCGTAACGTTTAGCTTCTTTTCAACTGTTTCGAGCATAAATATATTTGGCAACCTTACACTGCATAGGGCATAACGTCATCTCAGAATTACGACCTATTGAATCCCAAMAATCTTTGAAAAATTTACGACATCTATTAAATGATAGAACTTTGCTAATTTGAATTCTGTTTCCCATTTCACTTTGAATCACGAAAAGATTCAATTTGCTAGACAAGTAAATCTTCGGAGAATCAGCGACTGCTAAAAYAATTTAACTGGACAGTACATCGTGAAGACTGGAGCGATACACACATTATTTCTTTAACGATAAACTTATTTTTACCGACTGTTATTCTTATTATTGAWGCTACATCCACACTACATCATAATGTAAGAACAGTAAGAAACCAGCATAGTCCGTATGCCAACTATGCAACACCAATGCTGGTCAGGCGCGTAGCGTCCTTTACGCATAAAAAGAAAATATTAAAATTTTCACAAAAATTACTGAAAAATGCACATAAAATTGATCCCTTTTATATGCTCTCGATGTCTCTCAAAACGGATTTCCAAGAGTTTTTTATTTCAAAATGTCCTGGGGGAGCTCCAGACTCCCTTAATACTCCCACCTTTGTCGGTCGTTAGACCCCCAGATCCAAAATATCCTGTCGCGGTCCCTGGCATGTGCGTACTAGCCAAAACGTCCACGCTACGCAAAAAATTTATTTCCAAGGGACTTCTCCCGGAATTGCCTCCTTCTAAGCACTATAACTTTCTTTCATTTCTATATCGTGTTTATCATAGTGCCATGCGGTCTTCATATTCATATCTTCACGCTACGCAACTACTGGTAAACGTAAATATTTAAGAGTAGCGTGAGCGCTACCGTATATTTCAATTATTTTTCCGACTGTGCTTGAGCTTAAAGATTCTTTCTTTTGGATTGGACTTTATTGGTACGCCTCGCAGTTATACCGCTAGATTTCTGAGTATTCCATTATCCAAGGGATTCGTCACTGTTTATCGTCTAATTGCATTCCGAGTGCCCAATATTTCAGGGGTCCGCACCCATTTTCGTAGAGCCAGTACTCCGCAGTGATCCAAACTCGGTGATCCAAACTCTAACAGGAGTTTGTATAATTTTCTTCCATTACACCTTGAACAAAAAAATCAATCCCGCGCTATTTCCCAGATTCCGAGCTCTTGAAAAAAACCTTTTTGATGTAAAGCGTAGCAAAACAGTCTAAGGTATGGGGACTAACCGTCCTTCGAGCTTTCCGAAAGCCCCTGCTGAAAGCCGCCAAACGTCTGCGTCTATTCGAAGCGGCTGATAGCATATTCAGCTTACTCGTTTCAGTTTCTAACTTCTACAGCAGTTTCTAACTGATATTCTCATGTACACAAATTGCAAAATGTCTATAACAAATGTATGCTGGTCGAGCTTCTTACTCCTACTTCGACTATTTTCACTGCACCTTAATTGCCTGTACGGACGCCTGTACCACTTTTTACATGCAATTTCTCGAGCATCGGACCAAATTAAAGATTCTAACGAATATACCCATATGTGCTCAGATAATATACGTGAGACGTTACAGAGCCGAAACAGGACCCCTTATATAATAATAATAATAATAATAATAATTTATTAATTTATATAGCGCAATTAATCATTAAAATATTCTAATGCGCTTAACAATAGTTGAAAAATTATATATATTTATAAAATCTATTTACATTGAATTAGAACGATAAATGCTAAAATAAATTAATAAGATTGACTAAATAAAAATGTTTTCAAGTTAGCTTTAAAAGTCTGCAAGTCACTGGATTTGCGTATGTATAATGGTAAACTGTTCCAGACGCTAGGTCCGGCTACCGCAAATGCTCGGTCACCAAATGTTTTACAGTTCGTTCGTGGAATCACAAGGAGATGTTGATCGTCACTACGCAGAGCATAGCGCCCAGGAGCCTTCAAGTGTGATAGCTCAGATAAGTAAGATGGAGCGCAGCCACGAAGAACTTTGAAAACCAACAGCGCAATCTTGAATCTGATCCGGGAGACAATGGGAAGCCAATGAAGTTGGAGTGATGTTGGAGTATCGTGGAAGAAGGCACGTAACACGTGCTGCAGCGTTGAGTACACGCTGTAAGCGATTAAGCTGGTACTGCGAAACACCGTAGAGCAGAGAGTTGCAATAATCCACGTGAGAGGTGACGAATGCGTGAACCAAAGAAGGCCTTACTACAGACCTTCCCAACATGTGCATCCATTGACATATTCTTGTCGAACCAGGCCCCAAGATTGCGGACAGACGAGGTTGACACAATCTCAGAATCACCGACTTGAACAGAGCCCATACTAATCTTTGCGAGTTGCTGACGGGAACCGATAATCAAAAATTCCGTCTTGCTATCGTTAAGCATTAACATATTATGGCCCATCTAAGCTCGAACATCAGCGATGCAATCCTCCATAGCTCGGATCGCTTGATCTTGTGAAAGGGTGGACGTAGGGCGAAATGAACGGTAGAGCAAAGTAACTTCTTGTCTCTCCATGTTGAGGAGAATGTCATTCTCTACCTTAAGCAAGGCAGTCTCAGTCGAGTGATGTTGTCGATAGGATGACTGATTATTCGGTAGAGGTGCATGCTCAGAGCAGTGGGCGAGAACCTGCGGTATCACTACCTTCTCAGCAGTTTTAGAAATAAAGGGAAGGTTGCTAACCGGACGAAAGTTTTGATACACAAGTTCAAGACCAGGCTTCTTAAGTAATGGTGAAATAAGTGCGACCTTCCAATTTTTAGGTACACTACCGCTGACCAGAGATGAGTTGATCATCCTAGTAATGATAGGTGCGAGTACATCGATACACTTCTTCAGCAACCATGTGGGAATAGGATCTAGCTGACAACTAGCGTTCGAAGATGAAGAAATTATGTCACGTACATCAGCTTCAGACACGGGCGAAAACTGTGTCAGTCTAGCAGAAGGTGATGGAATACAGAGGACAGGATGAGGAGGCCGAGAACAACTTCCAATATCTTGCCTAATGAGATCAATCAGCACGCACATTACAGAGAGCGTTTACTACGCCAAAGAGCTTCTTGGAATCCCCAGCACACTCTTCAATAAGATTACCGTAATATTTCCTTTTGGCTTCATTCAGACGAAGACAATATTGATTGCATGCTGCGCGATAAGCCATTTTATCAGAATCAAGGTTAGTTCGTCACCACTTGCCTGTAAGAAGACTGTACGCGACGATAATCATATAATTAGCATATTGTTAATATTAATAAGATGACGTCATGTAAGCGTGGTCGCATTAGCGATCAGTTCGTTCGATTAATGGAAGGACACATTTCGGTAAGCATAAATCGCGTTTTAATTTCTTCCTTTGTAACCTTATTAAGTGTATATGTATGTATTTTGTTTAGTGAACCTGTAGAATATTTACATGATGACTGACAGCGTTCACGAGCGTTCTTCTGCAGTAGAAAATAAAGTCTGAATTTCAAGATGTTCAGATTTTTAACCTACAAAGACTAACAACGGGCTCATTACGAACAGTGAGCTGACTTTCACTAACGCGATTTAAGTTAACAAGCATCTTAATGACAYCATCCACAGATTTTAAAAGATTTTAAAAGAGATTGTGATCCAAGGGTAAGTAATTGTTGCTAAAGCTCCAGATGATCAGGGTAACGCACGAGGACCGGTAACTTGTGTCCAGATTCAATAACGCCAACATACAAAATCACGTTCCTATGTCTTTACAATTCAACTTAGACTCAAACTCGTAATCAGTTATAGCGGTTCAATGTACCTGGGTKAAAACATCTAGAAAGTCGCACTTATTACTTAGATGTGGCTGGCCTATGCTCATCAGCTCTTCAGGGGTATCTAGACTTACAGTTCTTGAAGSTTTAATTCTATGATCATTTTGTTTTAGTTATGTAAATAAATTCAACACAACTTGTACTGTTTGTCTGAATGAAAGGCGAGCTGCGGGTTTTCCCTTTCCTTTATTTACACTTTCAAATATGACCGCTTAACAAAAATGCACGGGCTCACTGGCTTACAACCTTGGCGAATTCATATGCAGGCCTGGTCGCAAATCAATCACCCAGCTCATGTGTTGCTGATGTTATTTAACATTGTTGTATATGGTTTTGAAGGGATTTGGAGCTATTTTTTTTTTTAAATATCGCCATTAGTCATAAAAGTCTACAAGGCAGGTTACAGAGCGTCCACGCCATACCGTTCCCTCTGATTGGACGACAGTTACCATGGAATCAGTTCAAGTACTCCCGACTCCAGACAGTTCGACTACTCCTACAGGGAGTGTAGGAATTTGTACAACTGTCTACATWCCCAAAGGGCYCGCCCGGCCAAGCCCGAGGCCGAACGTACACAGCTCAGGGAAAACTCGTTCGCGCGCTTTTTCGAAGTTTTCAACCGAATCCAGTTACGTTTCAAGCGTTATCAAATTCCTACACTCCCCATAGTAGTCGGGAGTACTTGAACTGATTCCATGGTAACTGTCGTCCAATCAGAGGGAGTTTGAAAAACGGTGTCCATCAAGGTCGATGAATGCTTGACCGGATTCAAAAATTGAGTCAGAATAGCGTAAAAACATGACGATTTGGCACGGTTGGATTTGAAGTCCGTTGAAATATTGCCCAATTCTGGATAGAAGGATCCTAGAGATATGCCGCTGAGGGGATTTTGGAGGCAAAAGATGGATTTAAGATATTTTTCGGCCTTCAAAGACGAGTGGCGTGGACGCTCTGTAACCAGCCTTGTAGTCTTTTATGACTGATGGCGATATTTTTTTAAAAATAGCTCTAAATCCCTTCAAAATCACACACAGCAATGTTAAATAACATCAGCAACACATGAGATTAAGGTAAAATGTATTTTATTAAAAACAATTTTGAATCAAATGCTTTGCTTGGGTTGCCTGTGTTGAGAGAAGCCATTTCAGTGATGTGAACGTCGCTTTCTGATTGGTTGATTACGTTTTTTCTGTGTTATGATTGGTTATATTTTCACATGTGAAAAATGCTATACGCGCTTCTGATTGGACGTATCGTTATTTTTCACATGTGAAAATATAGCATACAGATTTTTATTTATGCCATTTACKCTATGAAAGTCTCGTTATATACATAAAATGACTGTATATAATACTTGCACTTATGCAAACACCATACCTTACACAATGACTGGATAAACTCTGCATAACAACGTAAAATTCATTTCCTATTGGCTCAGATAAATAATCAACTTTCTATGTCCATATCTACATGTGATACGTATCCTGATGCATCTATTCTTTCTAGCAGTTGGGATTTTCGACATGTAACCATGCACAATTTCGACAATTTTATCATAAGACATCCTCCACGAATCATGCAACTTATCACTTGGTTTGATTAATTAAACTAAAAAAATATTGATATTTGATTGTTTCCTTGTGAGTGAAAACCGKCCTCACTTATACGTTATGATACGTTTAAATATCGAAATCGAAGGTTTGTRGTCTATTTCGGTACCCTTTGGGCGCAGTGTGTTTGTCACTCTAACTATTTATGTAATGTTTACAACCAACATGAGCRGCCGTGTTGTTTTTTATGTTATTTAGASKTACTGTCAAACCACATGGACGGCGGAGCATATTTTCGGTTGAGGGGGCTAACAACCACTTAAGGCTGGATAAATCGGAAATGCGATTCTAAGCATTTTGGGGAGCTTCAAAAACATACTTTTACAGTGGAAAATGTTACTTGATACTGCCAAAAGGTATAGATATCAGTGTTTTATTGAAATTCAAAAAATTATTAAAGGCGGGGAGGGGGAGGGGGTTACAGCTTCTCGGTTTTGGTGAGGTCCTCGGACAAATGTGGCTGACTAGATGCAYTTTAACCATGATAAATGCACATAATCTTGCACGCCTCCTTGGTCTCGAAGTTGTTATAATTTCCTTTACCTCCTYCAAAAATAAACTTTTCGCACTTTCCACTTTGTGCATTGAAATAGAACCTACGTATTTTAGCACGTCCCTCACCAACCATTTTTGGTAAAAAGCATATTTCGCTCCTTTTGATTTTTTTATTTCGTGCAGGTTGCATAAAAATCTGTTCTCGAATCCTGCACATGTTTTTACACTCCTCTTTGCTTTCAAAGTTGTTAGCGTTACCGTTGTTTCCTCTAAAAACAAACTGTTCGCATTTTCCACTTTGAGCATTGAAGTAATATCGATACATTTCTGCACTGCCCTGRCCAACCAATTTTGGTAAGAAGCATACTTCGTTCCTTTTGTCGTTGTTGGGTGGCATTGGCTGACTGAAYGGACTTTTTCTTGGAWTSKCACACATTTCATCACATTCCTCTTTTGTTTCAAAGTTGTTAGCATTTCCCTTGTTTCCACGAAAAATAAACWGTTCACACTTTCCAATGTTGACATTGAAGTAAAATCGAGGTATTCTTGCATTTCCTTGACCAACAATTTTGGGTAAATAGCATTTTTCGTTCTTTTTCTCGTTTTTTGTCGGGAATGGTTGCTTGAATGAATTTGTTTCTCGATCAGCGCAAKTTTTCTCGCACTCTTCTTTGGTGAAAAAATTATTGGCATTGCCATCTGTGCCTCCTCTAAAAATAAACCGTTCGCATTTTCTCTTTTCAGGATTGAAATAATATCGAGGCAATCTCTCACGGCCCTGCCCAACCACTCTTGGCAAAAGGCATATTTCATTYTTGTTGGCGTTTTTGGTTGGCCATGGCTGATTAAACGTGTTCTTCTTTCGGTCAGCGCACATTTCTTCGCACTCTTTTAATGTAAGAAAGTTGTTTGCATTGCCCATTCCTCCTCCAAACATGAATCGTTCACATTTTCCTGTTTTTGCATTGAAATAGAATCGAGGCGTGCTCACTTGRCCCCAGCCAGCTATTTTTGGTAAAAAGCATATTTGGCTCTTTTGAGACTTCTGATTTGGGGAAGGTTGACTAAATCGATTCTGTTTTCGATCACCACACACTTCCTGGCATTCTTCCTTAGTATAAAAATTGTTTGCGTTGCCCATGCTTCCACCATACAGAAATCGCTCACATGTTCGAGTTTTGTGATTRTAAAAGAATCGAGACATGGTTAGAGGCCCATAACCTTTCAATTTGGGAAGAAAGCATATTGCGCTCTTTTGGAAGTCTTCATTAGTAATTGGTCGGAAATCATTGGATGATACATACATACACACTTCTTTACACATATCTTTGGTTTTAAAGTTGTTAAGGTTACCTCCAGCTCCACCAAAGAAGAAGTTTTCACATTGCTTTGTTTCGTTTACATTGAAGAAAAATCGAKGAAGCTTTGCACTGCCTCGCCCGGCATCTCTCGGTAAAAAGCACTCTGAATTTCTAAGCATTTCATCTATAGAGAAAGTTGTATTGTCATAAAGTGGTACTTCTTCACCTATGGTGCCTGAAATAATAGAGCATATGAGTTTGGTTACAATGGTGCTGTGGAATTCTGCTGAAAAAAAAAGAATTATGGTGGGGTGAATGCGTGAACCGAYATAGGACAAAAAATAAATATAGGGAAAATTAAAATGCAAACAAATTTCTGTTTCCAAATGTGCATTGCTATAAGTTATCATTTCATCGTTTTGAGCGTATTAGGTAAATTTTCCCAAGATAAAAAAATAAAAAAATCATGATTAGAGAGTGGCAAAAACGTTTCACACGAACCGAAACAATTTATAGACAGCTAATGTTTGAGATGCAAAATCTAAGATCGGAAATTAGCCAATCAGAGAACATATCAGAGCCTCATCAAACGCCCTACTGGTGTTAGAGAAAATAGGAGAGCAAATGGTGTGTCGATTTAACTAACTTTGGATGAAGATTCCAATTACAACACGTGTTGGATACAGTAAATAAAACTTCTGATTCCAAGAGTCAGTTAAACTGACACTGAGGAGAAACTCACTACGCATGCTCTGAACGGAAACTAGGGTCAATGTTGAGTCTTGCACAAAATCGTCGAAAAAGTAGTGAAAAGTTTTCCCGGCATGGAGAACAGGTCTCGCACTACCATCCGTTGATTGAACAGCGGAGGATTTGAAATCCACAATTGAAAAAAGGGAAAAAACTAATCCCCTCTTATGAGATACTARTAAAATAATACAATTGAAGATAAGATGGAGGGCTTTAGCGAGACAAATATTGCTTTCCGTGCTCTTTATATTAGTGAAATTCAATATTTGTAATAATTGTTGCACTCCTGAAAAMATTTTGAGCCCATAATTGACTCACAAGCGATTTAACAGTTCAATTGATCCAAGAAACACTAAAGCGAGGAGCTAAGGCCTGTTTACTTAACTTCAAGATAATAACCTTTCTTTACAAAAAAAAACTGAATAAATGTCACTAACTAATGGTTTAATGTAATTAAATCTATATTTYTGAATATAAAGTATTGCAGAACTAGTATTTAGTTGATCGAGGTCTATAATTTGCCATGATACAAAATTTCTGTGTACTCCCCATTTTTTCTAGCTGATCACGTGACACGACACAAACGMGTATCAAACAATAAAAATCAAAATATCAAGACATCTGCCCAAAGAAAAGACATGAAGCTATTTAAACCTTATTTTTATGCTTAATAAATTATCTTTATCCAAGCCTTTTTAAAAACCACCTGAGAATATTTCAAATTCAGTCTTTTGCAAAAATTCTGACCGCTAACATATATCATAATATCGTGTGCATCACGGGTCATATCATGTGATTTTCGCTTAATCTGCTATTTTAGAACAAATTAAAGGTTTATATATGAATTATCAACTGCCTTTTATTGATATATTTAAATAAGATAGCGGCCACAATTTCTAATATATATTTAAATAAGTAAGCGGCCACAATTTCTTGAATTGACTGCATKTATATGTACGATTATTTATATTAGAAAACTAACACGTGAAAGCCTTTTATATTTCAGCTTGGTTGCGCGGATACGCGAACGAGTGAAAGATTTTGAGCCAGGTAGCACCGCTCGGAACGGGTCTCATGATAGGTTGAGAAAACAATGGACAAACAATATATAAGTCTTCCAACAATATAACAAAACCTAACCTAACAATAGTGGTGCTGTACTTAAGGAGCAATCAAAAAGCAGGTTTCAATTGTACTGCATTACTGAAGATTTTCGACACAATAATATAGCCGCCTGTTTTGGTATTCCACAATAGGACTTTCACTCCTCTATGAGGTAGTGTTCGYACACCGACCTTTTAATTTGCGGCTAGCAGTGCATTTGGTCACGCCGTATGCCACATAGTACTTGATTCAACCACTGCTCTTTATTGGGTTTTTAACATCTTTTATATTTCAGCTTGGAAAACTGTTTCAACTTCAGATAGAATGGCGCAAMTGAAGACTCGGGAAACAGTATCTTAACATTATCTTTTTTGTGATCCATTTCAGCCGACATTGTCTAGTGATAAGAATATCCAATTATGATGATATGTTTGGCAAGCTTACCCGTCATCAGCGTCATAGTGATCAGAATCAGGATTATCATTTTTATGTCTCTGGCTGGCCTGTTGACAAGCATATAATGGCATCCTACGTGTAATGATGTCAATCTCGTAACTTTGTAAAAATCGTCATGACAACAATGGACTATATCCCAAATTGCAGGTGCTGTTGAAATTACTCGATATAATTAATCGATAAGCTATTTTCTGTGATTTATCACTCAACTTTAATTATAAGACCAATCATTTGGTAATTAATATTCTCAACAGTGGACCCATAGCTAGAAATCACTTGGTGGAATAGCCTGCCCCCCTCCCCTAATTAATTCCATTGACGCTCACTCATCCAAGTCCAAAACCGCCCACAAAACAGGTGCCTGAACATTGATTTTCTCGATCGATCTTTCTGTGACAATCACCTACTCGTCAAAATGTATATTTATTGTCATTATATTTCTGTTTGATCACTGAATTATACTTTACTTTATATTAAGTAGTGTTAMAGAATATTGATTGAATTCTCGTGCTTTGACACTTCATCACAAGACATTTTTTATTGKTTTTCAAAAAACATACAAAACTACGAATTAAATAAATTAATAACTGTCATGGAAATGATGGAAAGTAAAACAATTTGACAATAACTCGCAATAAAGTGTCTATATCCAAAGGGAAAAGAGCACTTTGGCATTATATATTGATAACCCGAATTCATGTATTTTAGTTCTATCGTTCCTTTTTGAGATTTTCAGTTAATAAAAAAGTCTGTATAGACTCGAATATCCAAGATATTAAAAACAAAAGCATCAGGTTTTCGATGCACCAAACTATGAATAACATAGAATCAAAAATCGAAAAACAATAAGTTTTCATATAAACAGCGGGTAGGGGAGGGACTAGACTGCCCCAACAGGTGGTGACAAAGTCATTGTGGTCAGTTAATTATCATATTTTTCTACACAACAAACAGGACCCAGGATAAACGATCCAAACTTTGGGAAAAGAATATACTTTTTTGTTGGTTAGGATAACAAACAATTGTCTGGTAGAACTGAACTCGCTAAAGTTAAGTGGGTGGCAAAAGAAAGTTTATTTAGGACATACAGGGCTACCTAGATCGTTGATCTCCGTTGTCCATCAATCAACCTATATCGGTCGATAGATTATGCGATATTTATCAGGAAGGGGTCAGTTCTAAAATTCAAACGGACCAGGGGRAAGGATCAAAAGTCACACAAGTATAAGCTAGGGGGGTTACAAGTATTTGTTGTTCATTCAATCATGGAGTATGGGGGGGGCATGATATGTGACACTAGTTCAGAGGATAGAGACGTTTAAGACCTTTTAAATGTTTTCCATCCCAGACAAACATATCGGACAGACAATTATCTAAGGTAAAATGGTTTGAGTGTGTAACTAAGAGGACATGCACACTTTCCTGACACCATCACGTCTCGCGCGCCGTGCAGAAAGATCGATAATGATTTTGTAAAAAAGAACAATTTTCAAAACTCAGACATTAATTCGGATATTCTTCAAAAGGTTTTGTTTGATTTGTTTCATTTATATATTTCCTGGTGTTTCATGCTGTGTGTTGACGTCACACGACACTATATAACTCGTAGTATGTATTCACTGGTTCTGATTCAAGTTCCGCCATTGCAAATTCCAGCCGTCCTAATGATGATCTCCGCCTTCTACGTTCTGGCCAATCACATTGCGTCCTCAAAATAACTCGAGGTTAACAATAGATGAGGATGAAGTGGTTCTCGTGAAGGGTGCAAAGCCTAGTATGGGTGATAGATTCTCATACCTCATTCTCTCTTGAGTTAAGAGTGTGTCATTAGGATGATAAACAACTTGAAACGTCTCATCTTGCTTGTAAATA